CCCATTGACATTAAGGGCTTATCTTTTATTAATCTATTAATTTGTTGCATCTGTTCATTTTCATTTGGATTCCGTTTCAGATTCAGCCTTCCATTGTCATCACCCTTGTTTATTCACGGTTTCACGACCGTTTACGTTGACACGTGTGTCCACTTTTTGAATGGCAGCCGCAGACAGTCACAGCTAGTCTCTACCCATTGTTAGTTAGCGGCGGCCCTGCCATGAGGCTCCTCGTTGTGTGTGTGATGTGGCAATGTGATTGGGCACATTCCTTCACATCAACTGGAAGTGAACGCAGCATCGAAGTTGTACAAACGCACACAACTCCTGCATGCTGTGGCCCTCCAGTTCCCCCGTGTGCTGCTGGCCGTCTGTCACGCGTGGGTCACCTGTGCATGGCGTCTGTTTCAGTGTCCCAGACCAACGGGAGTGAAGCGCAATGTTTGTGTGCAGTACATGTGCAGTAGTTTCCTGTTGGATCCTGCTATATCTCAATCATTTGAAACAGTGTAGCGGTGAAATCCACCAGATCTTTGTCAGGTCCTCACCTGTTAAATGTTCCCAAATGTTCCTTAAGCCTACGTCTGGACGGGAAGTTACCAGGACTTGTGTTCTCTTGCAGTGAGACGGGTTCCTCCCCGGTTCTCCATTCCCCCGACGGACAATGAGATCATGCCCGGTGGCAGCGTTAACATCACCTGTGTGGCCGTCGGGTCACCGATGCCCTACGTTAAATGGATGTTGGGGTCGGAGGATTTGACCCCTGAAGATGACATGCCCATTGGGCGAAACGTGCTGGAACTCACCGACGTCCGGCAGTCGGCCAACTACACATGCGTCGCCATGTCAACGCTGGGCGTTATAGAGGCGGTCGCACAGATTACGGTCAAAGGTGAGAATCCACGAGACGACTTGATACTTAACATTCCAACCAGCACCCAGCTCCTGTTATTTGATCTGTCTTATCACATTCTGCAGATGAATTCACAAGCTCCTACTGTTGGCACACTTGATCGCTCAAACAGGCTGACACACTTACAGCTGTTCACATCCACACACACAAAGCCTTTGTCTCCAGCAGACATAACAAAATCACATTAGTCATAATATGCCCCAAGGGACAGCACGCAAAGACTAAACATTATCTGTCCTATCGCCAGCCTCACCTAATGCGCTCTGAATTTAAGCAATAAATTACAGCCCGTGGAATATTTAAGACATGTTCTAAACAAACCGGAGAGCCTCTCTTTTCTCTGGGGTAACTTGGTTTTCTCCTTATCGCGGAGGTACTGTCAAGACTCTGAGTTCTTTTGCTGTATTACATTAGCGGCAAACAGTGCTATAACCCACATCTACTGTTCCTGTGTTGGCAGAGCAAGCTGACACTTTAACCTTCGGCTAGTATCCCAAGGGAAGAGCACATGGTTCGTGAATGCTAATGACAAAGCCATACGACATTGCGTCTACTTGTTTTTTGGTTGAGCACCCAGTTGAGATCGATGTGCGTGCTTTTGCCTGCTCTTCTCTAAACCAGGTGAAGAACCATTTCACACCTGTTTGTTAGTTTTCAAATATTTAAAAATGTTTATGTCCTTTGAGAGTGAGGGGAGAATTCACTAAACTGATACGTGCATGGGTGCCATTTTCAGAGCAACAACTCGCATCTTCACTAACCATTTGCAAATCCAGGCACTAAAAGTGCTGAAATGGTACTTTTTGCAAATAAATTAGGCTTATTATAGAATGCACCTCAGGGATTGACATTAACGCTTGTCTGGGACAAGTAGGTGGGTTTGTGGCTTTAACTGATTTGGATATTTCCTTTATCGAATCAAGCACTAAAGCGGGCACCATTCAATTTTAGTGATTTCCCCCCACAGTCATTAATATTGCTCCAGTAATCGTAAGTAACTATATTACAGTGGATTTTCCATTTTCCAAATAATTGAAATTCACTGATGAGCTTCTTTATTGTTGCTCCAGCTTTACCGAAGCCACCAGGTGTTCCCCAGGTAACGGAACGCACAGCAACAAGCATTACGCTCACATGGGATTCTGGGAATCCCGAACCTGTTTCTTATTACATCATCCAGCACAAGCCCAAAAACTCTGAGGACTCTTTTAAAGAGATCGATGGAGTCGCCACCACTCGATACAGCGTGGGTGGGCTAAGCCCTTACTCCGACTACCAGTTCAGAGTAGTCGCAGTGAATAACATTGGACACGGGCCTCCCAGCGAAGTCATTGAGTCCAAAACAGCGGAGCAAGCACCGAGTACCGCCCCGCGGCAAGTCCGAGGGCGCATGCTAAGTGCCACGACCGCCATCATCCACTGGGATGAACCTGAGGAGGCAAATGGGCAGATTACAGGCTACAGGGTTTACTACACCACCGATCCCAGCCAGCATGTCAACCAATGGGAGAAACAGATTGTAAGGACTTCCAACTTCCTCACCATTCCGGGCCTGACGCCCAATAAGACTTACTACATCAAGGTCCTGGCCTTCACCTCTGTAGGAGATGGACCACTCTCATCTGATTTGCAGATCATAGCCAAAACTGGAGGTGGGTGTTGGGAATGACAGGAATAACAGCTCTTGTTGTTTCCTTTTTGCAGTTATCTTTTTTTTTAAGTATTATAATACTTGGTGGAGACAAAAGCTTGTCATAAGGTTTGTTAATTTGTATATATATACACTTTTTTTACACTATGGTTCTTTTTGCTGGATATTCAACATAAAAATGTTTTGTGTGGTAATGTGTATTTTGGTTTAAGCCCCTGAATGAATTACTTCATTTGATATATTTTCTGTTTTAATTTGTAACTTGGTGGACACAAAGCAAAAGATCAGATGATTCATGGTAAAAGCAATTTATGAGTTTAAAACTAAAGACTCATAACTCTGATTGGATGGGCTTTATTCATACACATAGCCAATATTAATAATTGAATCACAATTGAATCAGTTATGGGACAGTCCATGAACTACCACTATTGTACATTGAACCTCCGGTTACTCCAGGAGGACTAAGCTTGTCCACTAATGTATTCCCACGATACAAACATGAAAGGAAATGACTGCAATGGAAATTACATTTGTATAATTTCTGTTATTTGTTATAACATTTTTATAGTGCCCTCTCAACCAACGGACTTCAAAGGTGAAGCCAAATCTGAGACGAGCATCTTGCTGTCGTGGAACCCCCCGACTCAGACGGGCCAGGACAATCAAATCGTCGGATACGAGCTGCTCTATAAGAAAGGAGATGACAAAGAGGAGGTCCGAACATGAACAGTTGTTGGCAAACGCCTTCACTCCTCCCACAATTGATGTCATTGTCATTGCTTGGGTTGACTGTATGAACTCTATTTTCTGGGGTTTTAAACTTTGTTTTTTTTTCCTTGTCCCTTCCTCAGAAACGAGTAAGCTTTGAGCCCACCACAACCTATTTACTGAAAGATCTGAAGCCATTCACTACCTACACGTTTCAGCTGGCCGCTCGCAGCAAACACGGCATCGGCGCATACACCAACGAGATCTCAGCCGAAACGCCTCAGACACGTAGGTCCCTTTCTGTCTTTACTGTCTTTCCCAAACACAGCGGTTCAAGAACAGGCGCAGCACTTAACAAAGCAGAAATCCTCCATTTCTCAACAGCATTTGCTAATGTAATCCTGAATTTGTTTGAGCAGTGGTTTACACTCAGATTTTTGAGAGATGGAGGCATTTCTGTTTTCTGCCTTGAGGGTGCTGTTAGCGCACATCTTGTTTGAATGAAAGTCAATTTGTGGAAGATGTAGTCAAATGACAAGGTCACTTTGTTGAATTTGGCATCATATATTAGCCAAGTAAGAGATGAGACTGAATTATTCATCTGTTTGTCTGCAGTCGTTCAGCTTCTGGGTGCCTTGTTTTTTGACTTTGGCTATTGTATACCACACTGCATTTGAAAGATTTACCAAATTTGTAGAGGTTCCCTCTGGAGCCTTGTTGTAAGCTCAAATGCAGTGATACGTAGCTAGAAAAGAGAATGGCATTCCCAAAAGACCTCATATTTATTCTTCATTCGTTCATGTTGAACTGTAACCAAACCTTTAGATCAACTCCTTCATTAATCTTGCCCAATTTGATGAATAATTAATGCTGACAAGCTTGACTGTGCTTCACTTCGTACTCGCAATTTGAGATAATCTGAATAAATCTGAGGTCCTCTGAGTACATGCCAGGTAAGTATCTTGGAGGGCTGTTTTTGCGGTAGAGTGTTTGCATGTCCAAGTCTAGAAACGTCAGTCATGAGCTCTTGGACCAACCAGGCTTTTACCTCAAACCAACAGGCCTCGGAAAGGTTGGTGAGCAATGCATTTCCTGTTTTTTACAGAGCTGACACATCAACCTTTGAAATTTTGGATTGATGGTAACTGCTTGGAGGAAACAGGGCCCAATTTAAACACAGCTCATTTATATATTTCACAATGCTGTTGACGTATGATGAGAGCAGTTGGAATTTGAGCCCTGATTTTAGGATATTTAGGGGGAAAAATGACATAAGTAGAGTTACGAAGGTAAGTTCTGTAGCTTCAGGGTCTGCACCAGTCCCACCCTGCACAATTTGTGAATTTGTTTTATCGTTTCTACCTCCTTATGAGAAGTCTGTGACATCTCTGCCCGTTTTGTTCTTCTTTTTAAGCTTCATTAAATTTATGTTCATGTCATCATTTTTGTTTTAAATAAATGTAGTCCCTGTGATTCATCCTCATTTGATGTCATTTTATGTTCCCTTTGTTTTTTTGCTTTTGTTTGTCCATCAACATCATCTCCACCTCCACCACAAAAACAAAAAAAATCCTCTTACCTCAACCCCCTGTGAACCTCACCTGGATCCAACCAAACTCCAAAACCACTCAAATCCAATTCAATGACTATTCTGCTCCTCCCACAATCCTCTGATCCTCCAATCAGAGCCCTCAGCTCCACCCCAGGAAGTCAAGTGTACTAGTCCCAGTTCTACCAGCATTCTGGTAAGTTGGAAACCGCCGCCGGTGGAGCTCCAAAACGGAATAATGACCAGATACACCGTCCAGTACGCAGCGACCGAAGGCGATGATACCTCGTTGCATCAAGTCTCGGACATACCGCCAGAAAAGTACCATTATCTGTTGGAAAACTTGGAGAAATGGACGGAATACCGTGTGACAGTGAGCGCCCACACTGAAGCGGGAGAAGGCCCTGAGAGTTTACCTCAGCTAATCCGTACGGAGGAGGATGGTATGTCTTACTCACACGCCACTGTGACCCTATGCTAATGTCTACCCTTAAAACACGCCCCACTTCTGCCAGACTTCTGCACAAAGCACCCTAACACCCCTCGCCCCTCTCGCTCCCTCTATTTACACTAACTCTACTAACCAGGATTTTTTGTGACCTTTTACCGAACCAACATTTGTCCCCTCTTTGACAATTTTTGGGAGAATTTTCGAGAGAATTTTTCAGACTTTTTACTTGACCAGACTTATTTCATGGCATGTGCTTCTGACGACCTTAAACTTCCAACAATCCCAAATGTCTTGCTGTTTTTTCCCCATTTTCTTATTAAGATAAATGAAATGGCTTTTTAATGGAGTGAAACTCATTTTCATACATGAAAAAAAGATGAATAAATCGACAGTGAATCTTCAGAAATGGGGCTTTTTTTTTCTCAAAGGTCCCACACTGATGACATTTTTCTTAAATTTTTCCATTTGTTTTTCTTTTTGTATTCACTCTATCATAGCCAAACTCCTTTAGAGTGCTTCAAACCTCTGAAACACTCCTCTTGGCTTATTTTTGCTTGTTTTTATTCCATATTTTGACTCCACTAAACCCATTTTTTTCAGAAAAAATTAGGTCAGCTGTGTGACCTGTTTTTGGGGATTGTTTTTTTTTTTTCTCTCTCTCTCTTTTTTTTGTTTTTGACTTCCCATTGTTGAGATATTAGTGTTATCCAGTTCTTGTTAATGATATAATCCCATTTTGTAGATTTTTGTCTGCTTCACCGCTTTCTCAGGGGAGACGTCCAGTCGGATGGGAGGTGTCATCTTTAAGCTTGACCTTTCTGTCTTCTATCCCATAATTCTCTCAGTGCCCAGTGGCCCTCCTCGTAAAGTCGAGGTGGAGGCTGTCAACTCCACGTCTGTTAAAGTGCTGTGGCGGTCGCCGGTGCCGAGCAGGCAGCACGGCCAGATCCGTGGGTACCAGGTGCACTATGTCAGGATGGTTAATGGGGAACCCGGTGGTCACCCTGTCATCAAGGACATTCTGATCGATGACGCTCAGGTAGGCACCCACCTGCATAGCTGCACCGCTTCTCAAGTCAATCTTTACAGGCTTTGATGAGTTCTGTGGTCATGACACAATTCATACAGCCAGCTGCCAACTCTTTTGATTGTGTGTGTGTGTGTGTGTGTCACAAGAAAACATGACTGCAGGAACACAAATGTGAAGTTTTGGACTCTTTCGCAAACTAGTGAGCTGCCTACTTAGTTACCAGAAAGTGGCTTCATTTTTCAATCCTAGAATCCATTTCAAAACATGATTAGAGAGGAGAAAAAAATTGTCCCTGTTTATTGCTGGTCTAAGATGGTCTACTAGTTTGGACCAGGTTACAAAAAGTTACCTTGTTTTATTTATTTAATGGCAGTGATGCCAATTATTAGTACATTCATCATGACAGAGAATACATATATGTGTTTCATTTTAGTTATTAGTTGATTTAAATTGTGCATATTTGATAATACAACAAGGAAACATAAGTTTCACAGTGAAAACGACAGCTAAAAATAAAATGATGGATTTTTACTAATGTATTAAAATAGCACAGCTACTCAAATTTCTTATTTGCACATACTGTACGTTAATGAGGGACACAAAGGGTCATTTTTCACTAATAACTGTAAGAAAGAAGGCAGTAAGTGTATGATATGCACGGGTTCATTTAAACTTTTATTTCATATCCATATGACATGAAGGCTGTCCCTAGACATTAATGTTCCCATGTGAGGTTAATGATGAAGTGCCATGAATCACACACAGCGCATAGACCTGTTATCTGCTTGATTATACGTGCCTTCATGTTAGACAATGGACAGCGTGATGAGATCGGCCCGTCTGATTTCACACGACACATCACATCCTGACCTCAGCGTGCAACGCAGAGACACCGACACGCTGTTTGAATCCTACAGAATTATGAATCATTCATCATCCCAGCATCTGCTCGCTCACCGAAACAGAAGAGACGCACATAATCTGACACTCTCCCATGTCTTCGCCAGCAAAGTCTAATTGAACTTCTTTTCTTGTTTGTTTGTTTGTCTGTTTGTTCCTCCTGCTGCTCTCTGGTCTGGGCTTCAGTGGGAGTATGATGATTCAGCCGAACATGTGAGTACATCGCAGAATTATGCAGCTTTGCACTTTATTTCATTCCATGCGGCATCATTTGCAAACATACACGAGCATTGCTTGCTGGCCTGTAGATGTCATTTTGTGTAACCATCTAAAGATGACATTGGATCTCATTCATTAACGATACATGTGAAACACACGTGTATATGGACGTTGTCACGCAGAAATCCTGATTTATTAATAAATTTGCAGTTAAATAAAAGGATAAAATGCATTTGCAAGCAAACACATGCAAGCTCACAGAAACATGCAGTGTGTCAACTGAAAATGTTTATTCATAATGTTATCATAAGAAACTGAATTACTCAGTGGCCCAACAGTAAGTCTTTCTAATTTATTGTTTTAAATATAATAATTGCAGAATAAGTGATGATGCCTTTACATGGGCATTTATTATGCCAAATGCTACCTACAGACATGCATACGTTTATAAAAAGTAATCCAGATGCATGAACATTACAATAAGGGTAAGAGCAAATGTATGTGTGTTTGCACCTGTAACAACACATTTATACATTTAGCAAATTCTTTTATCCATGAGAAGCAAAGTACACTGATTCTATTAGTGAATGATTCCTGATGTGTACAGACCCATTTTCCTTTATTCTTTCATACTACCGTTTTACACTTGTGAGCAAACACATTCTTGAGTTCTTTTTGTTAAATGATTTCAAAAGCTTTTTGTTGAAAATGACTCGTGTCCTGCTGTTTTTTTTTCTCCAGGAATTAGTCCTCACTGACCTGCACGCTGAGACCATGTACTCGGTTACGGTCGCCGCTTACACGACCAAAGGCGACGGAGCGCGCAGCAAACCCAAGCTGGTCACCACCACCGGAGCCGGTAGGTTCACGCCGCTTCAGAGCAATTTCTGCCTCTGTTGCTGTGGACTTTGTGAGCGCCACCGAGGCTCAGGCTTCTCCCCTGCAGCCATTAAGACTGAATGCCTATAATTGCCCTCGCAGTGATGACGGCGATTGTAATTCCACTCACCTACGGCTCTGACTTTGAAATGCTCGCAGGGGTTAAGGAAATAATGGAAAAATCCGTCAGGAAAATGGCAAAATAGACTTTTTCAAAATTATCGTCTCGATTATCACTGAAAGGCTCGAAACGCACAATCGCTTATAAGTGCAGGCGCTATTCTGTTGTACCCCTAATTGTGCTGTTATTCAGCTCCTGAAAGGCCTTTTATTTCACTTTTGTCCTTGAGCACATGACTGTGAAAAGGTGCACAGTATCACTGTTGATTTCTATTTGATATTGTATCATTACAAATTGTCAAACTCGCAGAGTTTTCGCCTGGAGAATTAGGGGGATAGATACTGCAGTGCAATATTAAGAGGATCGGTGGCTGTATGTTAGATCTGAGTCTAAACTGGTTTTGCTTTCAACTTCAGGGCCGATGCATTACTGACTTATATTTACCATCATCCTAATTATATTCTATTTTACCTTGGATAGTTTTGTTTTAATTTAAAGAAACATTTGTAGAGATTGAACCTTTCACATAAAAAAAAAAAAAGTTTATTTATTTTGCTGTCCTATTGAAAACCACTACAGCATTGATTGTCGTAGGAGTGGGCGATTTACAGCCGGACGTGATAAAACATTAGAAATTTGTCAACCGGTAGAGATTTCAGTCTGTGGTTACACTGCACGATGATATTGTAGCACTGCATCATTAAGAAAGTGCAACAAGACGCAAAATTTGGTAACACATTTTGGTACTCGCACATTGTCTGAATAGAGTTCTTTTTTTCTGCTTATTGCACACAAATGGTCAAATTCACACAAAAAATGCTGTATTTATGTAAGCATTGTCAGCCATGTCTTAAGTGAATGCAAACAGTTGGGAGAAAATCCTCTGTATATCAATATATTGGATCCATGCGTTAGGTCTTAAAGTGACAGCAGCCTTACATGCCCGCTGTTGTCTCTCATTGATGCTAATCAAACAACAAAAGAGAAAATCACTCGCTGCTCTTGACTAAATCACTTTTGCATTCATTGTTATTGAACTGAAGTGAATCTGAAACACTGAATCTGAATTGAGCTGAATAATAACACTACTGTCTTCTGTAGAGCTGCTTAACAGCTGAAACAAAATTTGTTCCATAATCGATTTCATAATTTAACACTGATTTGCTTCTTTATTGCACTGAAGCTGCTTTTAAACAATCTGTTTTACATAAAACACTATAGAAATAAATACGACATGACTTGCATTTATTTACCCTATGTAAGATAGCATTTGTTTTTTTGTGCTGATATCGAAATTAGGGGTATCCAATTATTTGGGTAATGTAACCAACTAACTATATTGTTATATAGTATGTATTGTTATTATGAAATTGCTCATATTCTGATATAAGATTTTGGTCATATCATTGACCTCTAAACTGCTGTACTTTTCTATTTCTTGGATTAGTTAATCTAGCATTAGTTATTGCTGTGATATCGTAATTGCGAGATTTTACTGGCTTCCATATCATGAGAACTGTATTTCCAGCAAAAATGTCTATATTGTGCTCTATATCGATACATATTGACATGTATTGTGATATTAGATTCAGGTCCAGTTGCCCACCTCTAAACTGCCGTACGTTTCTCTGTATTGTCTGTCCATTCTCAGTTCCGGAAAAGCCTCGTCTCATGGTGAGTCCGACGAACATGGGCACGGCATTACTGCAGTGGCACCCACCGACAAACACCTACGGCCTGCTGCAAGGCTACCGACTGCGGTTCGGCCGTAAGGACGTGGAGCCCCTGACCGTGATCGAGTTCTCCGAGCGCGAGAACCACTACACCACCAAAGAGATCCACAAGGGGGCATCCTACACCTTCCGCCTCTCGGCCCGCAACCGGGTGGGATTCGGAGAGGAGACGGTGAAGGAGATCACCACGCCCGAGGACACTCCTGCCGGTTACCCACAAGGCATCGTAGCCCAAAGTAGCACGACCACCACCATTCAGGTCAGCTGGCAGCCTGTGGCGTTAGCCGAGCGCAACGGAGCCGTCATCAAATACGCCCTTCAGTACAAAGACATCAACAGCCCTCGCAGCCCCTCAGAACTGTTCATCACAGCACCTGAGTCCACCGTCACACTGGACGGCCTTAAAGCAGACACCACGTACGATATTAAAATGTGTGCCTTCACCAGTAAGGGCCCCGGCCCTTACAGTCCTAGCGTCCAGTTCAGAACGCAACCCATCAACCAAGGTAGGAGGCTCGCAACACCCTCTCGGCCCCGTTTGCCTTCCCCTACAACCTTAAGTCACCTGTGAGAAAGAGTTTGGTTTTCAGAAGCAAATCGAATCTGAAAATGCCCCTAGCATAGCTAGTTGAGATCAGTTAGCGTCCTGCGGAGAGTCGATGGTAAGCTGCAGGTAAGGTTGGAGCTCTGGGCTAGTCCTCATGAGGTAGCAGATGAAGTGCTTGGCAGGTAAGGCTGATGTTGACTAGCTGCCTTCCTAAAAGGTGGTGAAACCAAGCGCTGCAGATCTATTTGTCTAATTCATCTGCCCCAACTTTCTTTTAGCAGTGTTTGCAAAAAATTTTCACGTGAGAGCTGCCATGAAGACTTCGGTGCTGCTGACGTGGGAGATTCCCGAGAACTACAACCCCGCGCAGCCGTTTACGGTGAGAGACGTGCGTGAGGTTCTGTGAGCCACAAACCGTCTACATAGCCAGCTTCCCTTTGTGAAAAAGAAGTGTGCTTAATTGTATTGAAGGTGCACTTGTAGTGTACTTAAAAGCTTTTAAAAAAAACCTTGCATCTAATATTAATAAAATAAAGTCCACTTAAGTGACTTAAAGAGAGACACTTTCATGTCCGTTTCTTTTAAAAAAGTGACCTTTGTAATAATGTCAAATTAAAACTTCTACTTTAAAGTTAATTTTAAATCATTATGTTTTAATAATATTTTGTTGTGTATTAAAGAAGTACGCTTATTTTGATGTGTTGACTAACATACTAAAGCACATGTAAAGTACTTGATTGTCATTTTAACTGTAGTGTGTTATTCCAACTTTACATTTGACAAGTTTATATATTTTAAATGCATCAAATTGGGTTACACTTTATTTCGATAGTCCACTTTAGACATTCTACTAACTCTAAGTAACTTTGTAACTACATGTCAACTACATGTCAGCTAATTCTCATTAATTTGCAACTACATGTCTACTAACCCTCAGAGTAGACTGTTAGGGTAGGTTTAGGTTTAGTAGAATGTTGACAAAGAAAGTGTTAGAAGATATTAAGCAGACAGTCTACTAATACTCTACTAACTGCTAGTTGACATGTAGTTGCAAAGTTACTTACTGTTAATAGAATGTCTAAAGTGGACTATCGAAATAAAGTGTTACCTCAAATTGCACTAAATATACAAATGCATTTAAATACACGAAGTTGCACTAAACGTCAATAAAGTTTTTTTTTTTTTTTTAAAGCAAAATTGTATAAAGTATATTTTGGTTTTGTCAGTACATTCAGCAGTACTTTATCGATATTTCAAAGACAACATAAGTAATTATGAAATTGCATATAAAAAATGTACTTAAGTCCTACTTAAGGGGGTCAAAAACACTAAAGTTATGCTGTGTATTTAATATATATTTAAACTATAATACATTTTAATTTAATTGCAAGTAAAATGCAGTTAAGTGTCTGAAAAAATTAGATGCAGTTCACACTTAAGTATATTATATAAAAGTATATTTTTTCTGTAATACTCTTAGTAGGCTAATTATGCAGTAAGTATGTACTTTTAAGTATCTACTTCTTTTTCACAATGGACCTTCTAATGCAGAGTAGCACTAACAACAGCATGATGGATAGATGCAATTATGATTTAATATTTGGCAAAAAGAAGGTATCTTCTTAATGCTGCCTAACTTTTGAAGCATCCCTTAAAATGCTGCCTGCACAGGCTGCACACTAGGTTTTGGATCACTAGCTCCAGCTAACACATTAAAACTGGTTAAAGTCTGGCGTGACGGTGGTTCCTCGTAGATCCTGTATGATAACGGCCAGAGTGTGGAGGTGGATGGGAAGCTGACGCAGAAGCTCATCACCAACCTTCAGCCGGAGACGCAGTACTCCTTCCTGCTCACCAACCGTGGGAACAGCGCCGGAGGACTGCAGCACCGCGTCTCCACCATGACAGCGCCTGACATACTGCGCACCAAACCCTACCTGATCGGCAAGACCAGTTCAGACGGCATGGTCACGGTCGAGCTGCCGGCTGTTCAGACGGCTGAGAAAGTGAAGTGAGTACCAGTTCTGCTTTGTGTTTGAGTTTAACGAGAGAAGCACCATGGGCTTTCCGAGAAGATCATTCACCTGCATCCATCTGACATCTGTCTCAACACTACATCTGTTAATCTTTTCCCATTTGTTGGACCGCATTTACCAATTATTCGGTTGAGTCTTTCCATCTCAAGTGGTTAAAAAATTAAGTTTTAATTTTCCTTATTTCCAACCATCTTTTTTTTTTGTACTTAGTCTAACAAAAGTGGAGGTCTTAGTGTCATGGTCCACAATATATTTTTGGGTACAGAAACCTCAGTGTCAGTTCAGTGAATCTCAATGAACAAAAACTGATGTCTAGTTCACATTGCATGTACATATATTAATATTTTGCACATTCTTGTTATTTTGACTTGGAATTTAAGTCCATGTGATCAGGATATAGTGTCACTTTATAATGGTCAGGATTCAAGTTTTTTCGAGCATTTCAGGTTTGATTGTTTGTTTGTTTGGTTGGTTGTTCTAATGAGGCATGTTTATTTTAAAACATGCACATTTTTGCCTCATAAAAAATATAATAATAATAATAATAATTTCCCTCACTTTCAGGTTGGTTATCTCTGCTAGCAGATAAGAAGCTGAAGTTTTGAGAGATATCAGTCCTCTATGGCACTTTCTGCTGTAGAAATAATGGGTTAGAGATGCTGCTGGTTACAGAACTAGAGCTATAGTCCTCGTGTGCTTTGAGAAATTAACAGATGTTATTTGGACATAACAAATAATAAAAATGAACAATATTTTTAAGTCATCATGTTTGTTACTGAGACATACAATAACCTCTGCAAGAGACCAAAAATATCTTAAAATCAAATCTAAGGAACAAGAATATGCAAAACATTTATATATAAATATATATATATAACCTTGTTATGTGCATTGCAGGGTTATTTTAGTGTCACTGATACACAATTATACTTTCTGATAAGAGAAAATGAGAAATGCTACCTGAAGTAAAATCTGTGCTGTTGTTATATTTACTTATTTCAGTCAATGTTTATTTTATTTCAAGTAATGACTTTTAGTTTCAGTCAACAATAACCCTGAAGCACTACATATCAGTTTTTGTTTTCGTGGAGCATCCTGAGACCTCCGATACTGATGTTTCTGTAAATACCAATGCATAAAGGTAATTACTTAAAAAAAATAAAAAAAATAAAAATAAGGTTACACTTTATTTTGATTGTCCACTTTAGACATTCTACTAACTATAAGTAACTTTGTAACTACATGTCTACTAACTCTCAGAGTAGACTGTTAGGTTTAGGGTTAGTAGAATAAGTTGACATATACTTTCAAAGATTCTTATGTTCTTGTATGTTGTATGTTGTTGACCCATCAAAATAAAGTGTTATAAGATATTAAGCAGACAGTCTACTAATACTCTAATGACTGCTAGTTGACGTGTAGTTGCAAAGTTACTTACTGTTAGTAGAATGTCTAAAGTAGACTATCGAAATAAAGTGTTACCTAAAATAAAATGGTCAATCAGCCTCTGTTTTGAGCAATCAAAATGGATTGAGTCAATAATACTAGTGACTAGCAAACATTTCTGCCAGATTAAAGACCGTGCTGGTTGAGAAATATTGCTGTGATTGTGAATATTATAGCTGTGTTGGATTATGGGAATTCTAGAAGAGCTGTCTGTCATTATGAAAGGGAAAGTTCACCTGAATACTTACACAGAGAAAGAGTTTCTCAGACCACATTTGTATTAATTACATGAAAAAGAGCGACTAGCTTTCTTCAAGATATCTCTTTTGTGTCTCTTGAGAGAAAGAAAGTCATACATGTTTAGAAGGAGATGAGAGTAACAGCTGAATGCTGAGCTGTTTTTGGCCGTTCTGTCTATCAGAGACCCTCGTTAGTGTGTGTGAACCCAGCAGCGTGAAACCAGACTAAAGCGCGGTGTGGTTGGCAGGTTATTGATGTGTTTACCGAGGGTCGCTCTCTTTCGTCAAACATGTGGTTAATCCAGTGTCATCCCGAGTGGATTGGAAAGTCCAGATTGATTGGAGCTAATCTTGATGGATGTCCTGACGCTGTCAGCACAACCTTATAGACTCTGTCTGGCTCTCTCTGTAGGGGTTACTACATCGTGGTGGTGCCGCTGAAGAAACAGCGGCCCGGAAAGTTCATCAAACCATGGGACAGTCCGGATGAGATGAATCTGGAGGAGGTAAGAGACGCCCGATCCACCGTTTAGACTCATTGCATCATATATTAGGCCTTACTGATCAGGCAGCGGCCCCTGTGAGGACATGATTCCCAATGCAGCGACGAGCAGTTATTCGAGAAGAAAGCAGCGAGTCCCAGTCATATGCACATCTGCTCCTGCACGCTAATGGAAACGGGGACCAAAACCTCTCCCCTCTAAAGGGCGAGAGATAGAGGAAGTTTGCGTTATCGCTGCAGACGAACGCTCGGTATTATTTTTAGCCGGAGTGAATGTTTGAAAGGGCTTTTCTGCGGCGAGTGTATTCCTCTGAATTGTGCCAGACTGCTGCTCAGGAAGGGGCAGCACCACGCAGAGATCTGCGTTCTGATTGGCCGATGGCTGGACACACCCCTCCCCCGCCAGCTGGCCTGAGGCACTTCTGCAAACCTGGTTACTGATAGTTCAGTGTGTGCGGTTAATGAACAAAACACCGTCAGCACTGCAATTGTCACCATTCTCTCAACAACAGACCAAACGCCACAATGACATTTACTGGACGGGTGTTTTAAGAATAAAATAAAAAGTTTTTCTGTCAATATGGGGTGCTGTGTGTACATTAATGAGGAAAAAAAATTTACTTAAATGATTTTAGCAAATGGCTGCAATATAACAAAGAGTGAAAAATTTAAGGGGGTCTGAATACTTTCCGTACCCACTGTATATACAGTATATAGTGTTTCCCCCCCAGTGTACACACACTCAATTTATTTGACTGTCAATATTTGAAGTCGCCTGTTGAAAGTGGCTCAAGGGCAGAAGGTCTGAAGCAGATTTGACGGCTTGATAGAAAGCTTTATCGGAGCGCCGGCTCACAGCAAACGCCTGCGGATC